AGGTTTTACTATTAACAATTATTATTATTATTATTAACAATTTTTTTGGCCCGTTTTTCATGTATATTTGTTGGAATAGTATGGTTACACAAAGTTAAAAATAAATATCAAATATGTACCAAAAAAAAATAATAAATAAATATCAAATACTAACAGGGGTTGACTCAAGTGGTAAGCAGCTTGATGTCGCTTAAGCAAAGTCTGGAGTTCGAGTCCTTGTGGATGCAGAAAACCCTTGTTGGGAGACTCACCCACCACTGTCAGGTATGCGACCCGAGTCGACCAACAGATTAGTTGGGGCATAGCTCCGAATACCGTGGCTGGCTAAAAAAAAAAATAAAAAAAATAAATATCAAATCAAATAGTAATATATAAAATGAGTATATATAATATTATAAATGGGGGTGTGAAATCTAGGAGGCCCTTAATTTCCGTCGGGTTCTTTGTTGTCTCCACTAAGAATTGTCAGTCAGGTTCATCACCACTTAGTTTTATGAGCAGGTTTTAATGTGAACTAATAATACCCCATTTTTGAGACAATTAACACTAAAACAAGAACACAACACACACGCACGCGAAAGAATAGTGAGCACGTATTAAATTTGTGCTTTGGAGAGCATACTTACACCTTTTCATTTTATATCAGATATATATTATAAAATTTAATTATTGTTTAACATTTTTTTTTTTCTATTTATTTTGATGCAATGAAAGGGGTTGTCAGATGTGAGCTTTTAGAGCATCCACAATGTTTTCGGTTCAATAAAAAAAATTATATGCCACATAAGAAATAGGCCTAGTATAAAAAAATGTATTCTCCAGTGCAAACAAAAGTAGGTTGGATCATGCTGATGTGGCAGTCAGAAAAAAAAGACCCGGTCTACCCTTAAGTCCATTTTAGACTCAAGTAGAGACTTAGTCGCTTTGGATTGTAGTGAATTTTATTAATTTTATATACTTTTATCCATGTCATGGAAAACTTGAGTTTATTTACATGCCACATTGGCAAGACTAGACCCAATACATTGTAGATGCTCTTAGGGAACCTAAATTCGGGTCTGATTTCGGGTTGAGAAATAAAATTATATTAGTAATAAACTTTCATTTAAAGTTATATTTTGATAATAAAGTAATACTCTAGGTACATAATATTATACATAGGGTATACATAACAATCACATTTAGTGAGACCTACCAAAATTAAAAAATTAAGTGGACCCCAATATCACACTCCATGTGAATGTTATTTATACCTCTATATACTTTTATTATGTACTTGTAACATTTTTCTTGTAATAAACTTGGGACGTCTTTTTAGAGAAAAAGGCAATTCGGGGTCGAGTTGAATGGAGTGTTGGGGGTGTTTTTTTATATTTTCTTTTAATCTAAGAACATATAGTATTTTTTAAAATATAACAATTTAATTTAAAATTGTGCATATACATTGAGAAAAGCATCACTTCTTTAACTATTAAGTTCACTAATCAGTCTGAAAAAAAATTCAAGAGAATAGCATGCATTGGCAAAACAACTGAAACAAAGTATGAACAAAGTACCGCTATTCGATCAATTCTCATGTAGAATTATACTAAATCGTACAAACAAGCCGCTACTAACCCAAAAAAGCAGTACGATGTGAAAAGAAAACAAATAGTCCAAAACACAAGCTCAGCAAGATATTGCAACCGTTTAAAGGATCTGAGCAGCCGTGTTGAGCTTTTCCGCTAGGCTGAGTTGTGTTCTTGTTATGCTCGACAAATATAGTAACAGCAGCTGGTCCTGCAACCAGACAAGATTCAGCACGACATATTTCCCAACAAACATGAAAAGATGAAAACCAATTAAGGTTCGATTAATAGTGCTATATTTCTATAGTTTTGGACCTTTCCTTTCATCCGTTCGTATTCTGTTTCTTTTTTTTTCAAACGATAGAATCTATATAAATAAACCGGGGGGCACCCGAAAGTTAAACAATACAGGACCATGAGAGACACACTATAAAGTGGTCTAGAGACACAAACAAAGCACGACTAAGACGGGGATGCAACCACCGAGACCTTACTCGCAAACCAAACCAACACTAGACACTAAATCAAATGTATGAATATTCAAAATCAAATACTTTTCACTTTCTGTTTACATGCTATTCCCAAGGTTCAATCGATTCAAAAAAAACTGAAAGTGCTTGCTTAAAAGTAATTAGATCATAAGCTTAGAGCTCCGTATGGAACAGAAGAACGAGTTTTATATATATACCTGCAGGTTATCATTCACAAGCTTATCAAAAATGTGGGGTGGCAGTTTAGGGAGAGATGCTACGGCATCATATATGAATCTCCCGATTTTAGTATCGGCAGCAGTTCGCCCTTCCTGAATTAAGAAAAAGAAGAAAGCAGTCAGAGGCCCAAAATCAGTAAGCCCATGAAATTTACAGCTTATATAAAACTAGTACTGTGCCCGTGGCAAATGAATAATTTTAAAGTACGGATTCAAAATGTCCATGCAAAAAAGAAAGTAAACGAAACAATTCGAAACGGGTCAAATTTAAATAAACTTTATACAGGAATTATATTATTTTTATTTGTCCCAGACTGGATCCATTTTGAACTGTGCGATTTGCATGTGTATCCAAAAAGAAGAACATGCTTGGAGCAAGCATCATCTACATAATGCCTTGATGGCGGCATGCTACTCTGTATAATGAGTCATACTACTCTGTATTCATATATTTAGATATAGCATATCTTACCACAACATCATCCACATATTTATAGATATCATCAATTAGAGCAAGCAACCGTTCCATAGAGGCCTCCATTCCCTCCAGATCATTCGGAAGCTTGTCAACATTCGTTGGCTTAAGCACATCAACTGTTTGAGGGATGGAATATACAAATTTCAGAAAATGGAGGAAAATGAACGGGACTGCATCAAATTAATAAATTTAAGACAGATACATACATCCAACGCATTCTGCTTCGACCATGCGCAAGTCCAATGGGATTTCTTGAAATTGAGCAGCAAGCTGTTGATCACCAAGAGACAGATTAATCGAGACGAATGCCTTGATGGCGGCATTTCCACTTCTGAATTCTGTGTCAACAGTCAAATGAACAGGATTGGTGATTTCTCTTGAGTAAAACTCGTGGATTAAAGCACTGCCAGGAGTCACTCCGCCAGTTGAGAACCTATAGACATATGCAAGTGCACACAAGCTTATAATCATATTCCAATTTTAAAATCGGTATTAACTGACGATCCATGACTATCAAGCAGGCCATGCATTCTCTTAATTCAGTGGTTTGATACTCAAAAATAAGTAAGTGGAACCGAAATACACAATTTCGCTAGTTCAGTTTTCTTGAATAAAATAAGGGTTCTAATTTACAATAAGAAGTCCTGTTCTGCCAAGCAAAGATCAATACATAAATTGTAAGGGAAACCAAGAACTTTGTCTGTAAGATAAGGATAACATCAAGCACAAATCCTTGCAGTAAACTGGCATGCATATGACAATAATGCATCTTCAATGTTAATTGCAATATAACTTTTACCTCGAAAGAGATCAGAACACAGAGCAAAAGTTAAACAAGGGAAACGAATTTGCACAGCTAATAAAAGATTACCATCCAACTATGACTTCCTTCGGGTTCACCTTCCTGTGGGACGCCAACATATTCTGATGGTAATCAATATCCAATGCAACCTAACAAAAATCAAAATTAAAGAATGAAGCTTTTTCACAAACAAATCAAAAGGCACTAATAAACTCCCCTTCAACAGAAAATTTAGCATTATTAAAACGATTCAAACAGCAGCTCGAAATAAGATCGCGATTAACAATGCAACCCAATTGGAAATAACCAGCAGTTATTCAAACAGATCTTCGCGAACAAAAACTCGACTAACCTGATCCGATGACTCATTGTGGGGGACGGCGTAAGAGTTGCGTACGTCAACGGTGCCGTCAGGCAAAACCGATCCGAGGAGCGTGCCGATAACGCGCTCCGCCTGGTCAGGCCGCCTCACATAACAGTCGCAAATGTTGTATATAACAAGAGGATGAACCCTAGCCGACACGCTTGCGGCCGACGGTACGAATTGCAGCACGGTTTGTTCGTTAGATCCCATTTTGCTTCCCTGATGTCAGTGAGAGGAGGTCGAGGAGAGAAAGCAGGTGAAATTCTAGGGTTTACAATTGCAGTGAGGTTTGCGAGATTAGGGCCTGGAATTTGGGGCCGCAACAGATATAATGTTGGACTTTTGTAGGGCCAAATGGGCTTTTCAAACAATATCCAAGTTCAAACAAAAGCCCAATTATCAACCCATCAAAGTCTAATATTACTGGTCTTAATTAAACTATACATGACCAGAATAAGCCCAAACAAAACCCGATAAACCCGGTTCACATCGAACATATTTCCAACACTTCCATTTTGCTCCTCAAATTTGCATTTCTCAAACTACTCTTAGCAGCAGAAAAAAATGGGCGGAGGAGACCACCACCACCACGCCGATGCGGCCCACGGCGGCGATTTCAGGGGTAAAGTGTGGAGCATGACCGGCGGTCCCTACTGCCGGCCCAAGCACTGGAAGCGCAACACTGCCTTCGCCATGTTCGGCATCGTCCTGATCTGCATCCCCATCGCCATGAAATCTGCGGAGCTCGAGGTGAGCGAGCTATCAAGATCTCTTCCTGTGTTGATTAGTTTGATTTTATGGATTTATGCGATTTTTTATTTTATTATTTTGGTTTAAGTGACTAATTTGTTGTGAAGGGTTATAGGGTTTTCTGGCGTTTCGTACCTTTATATTTTTTACATGTTCTTGATTAAGTTTTCATTTCTGGAGAAAATAGCTCATGATTTTATTGGATATTGTACAAAGGTAAGTTATTTGCTTTGTTAGAAGTGTGGTGGTACTGCTTGTTTGATATGATTGGGTGGAAGGTTGAGTATTTTTTGTTGGATTAGGAGGGTTATGGGGACTGTTCATGAGGGGTAAGGAGAATTTAAAGGTGCATTTGTCAAATTCTTTGAGGGAAGGGGAAATTTGGGGGAAAATGGGAGAATCCTTTTATCCGTTGAGATTGAATCGGATATGAAGTATGCACTACAGTTTGGAACTGTATTGAGAGAGGGAGATAAATATGAGAGTTCGTTTTCGTTATCCCGCTTCCAAAGAAGAGAAAACGTCGTCCTTGATATAAAACTTTTGACCACAGTATTCAATAATGGGCACACCTATAAGTAACAAGAATCAAGAATATACATGTGCTTATTTGAGATATGATAATGGAGTTTTAGCCAATCATAATATCAATCTGTCATATAAGAATGCAATGACTCATATGGCTTCAATTAATTAAATTGTTGTCGTTTCTAGAGTGATGATTGGAAAAATTCTTGATGAAATGACTTTATTATAGTGTGGTGTTATATGTGTTGTACTTTGATATTTAGCTCGAAATTTTACTTGATATCGCTAGATTCAGTTGTTTCTTTATAATTATGGTTTTCTGGTATTACATCAGTGCAGTTCCTTCACTTTTCTTTATGTGCATATTTTAGAAAATGTATATTCGGGTAAACACAGGTTTATAAGTGTGGCACAAGAATACTTTGAGTAGCACCTACTCTGCAAAATTGAGTTGAGAGAAAATATTGTTTTGTTTGCTTATAGCTTCTAAAGCTGCTTGGTGCCTTGAATATATGATAACAATGGTTTCTCTTGGAACAAATTCAAAACTGAAAGCTCCCAAATTAAGTGTCACCTTGACTAACTTATATCGTCTCTTGCAGCAACGTCCACACATGCCAGTTCGTCCGATCCCCTCCCAGATTTGGTGCAAGAATTTCGGGAATAAGGAGTATTAAATCTGTTGTAATAAAAGCTGTTTGTATTGCAACTATAAGTAAGTATCAGATGGGCCCTTCTATAATTACTTCTACAATCTCTTGGATTCCTTTTCATCTGGGAAACTCTCAAACAAGTCACTGTTGGGTTATGTGTTTGTTGGAATAAGTAAAACTTGCTTGCTTTTCTTATATTTGCGTTTTCGGATTAATGTTAGAGACATCTTCTTGTTTTGAGGTGTGACAGTCTTTGCTTGTTCTATTCGGATCCATTGTTTTCTTTATATGTTTTTTGCATTTTCACGAGACCGTCTCTTTTTTGTGCAATTTCAAATGCGAATACAGTTTTCTTATCTTAGTGGTGAAACGGAAAACTTGAAATTCAACAGACCCTCTAATTTCTTGAAATTTTGTTAGATTTCATTGTTTTATAGTCTCGTTTATCCTTGCCCGGGTTTCTTGTTGATCTTCATTAAGCCTAAATTTATTATTATTGGTACAAGAGATGCACATATCTCAGTAAGTTATTTCTTATTTCAGTCTCAAGACTCACATTCTTGTCTTAAGTGTCCAGGTGTGGTTTATAATTATTTAGCACTTAAAATTTTCCAAGTAGTAACTCTAAATTGACCAAATAAAATCACTTGATGAAAATAAAAAGCGGATAAGAAAGCAGTAAGTCCTTTATCGAAAAAAAACATGAGAAGATCTACCTTAACATACACTGCCCTTATCCATAGGGAATCTATGGTCCCCGGTATGTTGTTTGGGCATCTTAAGTAACATTTGTAATAATATATTTATTACGTGTGATGAGACAAACCAGTTGGCTCACGATAAGCCACATAAATGGTGTTGTATAATTCATAGCACGTACGTACACCTTCTTGTTGTACGCTAATTAGCAATAATATTGGAACTCATAATGTACTTTATTGAAGTTTGTATGTAGTATAAAACGTCCTCATATTTTATTATCTGTAATTAACAAAGAGTTGATAAACGAACTAATTACTTTAGTGAAACGAGTCGTTTGTGTGTGCTTAGATTGGGTTGGTTCGATAAGGCTTGTTAAATCTCAAAAAGATTAATATTTTTATAATTCGGCTCGTTAATGCATGAGCTGAGCTCGATAACGTTGATAAACAAGTTGAGCTCGAGTACCGGCTCGTTTAGTTAATGAGTCGAGCTGGGCTCAACTTGTTAAGGGCTCGAGTCGAGCCGTTTACATCTCTAATTACTATAAAATATTATATGTTAATTTATATGATTATTTTAATATATGACATGTCCGTGCAAAAGTATACTTACATGTTTGTTGGAGGAACACGACTGCCTGACCATTGGACAACTTAATGGAAAGACTTATTATCGAATACTAAAAATTAACATATCCTCGACATCATACACATTCAAAGTTCAACCAGTAGGCGCATCGACACGTTTAATCGCCGGTTTAAAGCTCGAGTCTCTACTCAAATCACTAGAAAAACCATATGGATTACATGATCAAACTTTATGTACAAAACTCACTCAAAGAAAAAAAAATTGCATCTGCCTCTAATATTTTTGATTCATTAGAACCAAGTAGCTCAAAAATTTGTTGCCAATGAGTAGGATGAAAGTACTTGGTGTGGACTTGGAAGTTGGAACAATAGTTTTGAGAGGATAAAAGGTTTTGATGAGACCACGTAAGACAGTGGTCTGTGTCCACAAGCTCTTATTTAGCAGAATTTGAGGCATAGAAGTAACCACAATACCTTATTGGTATCTCCTCCACTTGTATGCATCAAATATTGAACAGAATCACATAACCAATTAAGTGCCAATTAATACACACTTTCAAAGCATTCACTTGTATTTCCAGCTGCACAAATAAAAATAAAAAAAAAAAAAGGTTTCCATTTCTTTTTTCTTTACTATTCAATCAATAATAAAAATTAAAAAAAATATAAAATACATATGATCGACCTTAGGGCTTGATTGCATATAAAATATTTATGATTGACCTGATAATTTTTACTCAACTCAACTCAAGTCTCGTAAATATTTTCGACTTTAATTTACTATTTATGAACAGCATAATTTTAACTACTCATCACTTTTAATAATATATCTCATACTTCTATTTCGCATCAATTTTAGTCACTATATTTTAGATATTATTCAAATGCTAACTCATACTTTTACTCAAACCAAATCCAATTTTATATATTTTATTTTTTTTCAAAAATTAATTTACTTTATTTAATACATATTCAAAAATATAACTTATAATTTTATATTCAAAATATCCCAAAAAGCACATGCACCTACTTTTTTTGGGGTTAACTTGTGGCTGTGGGCTTTATGTAATTCTATTTTGAGGAAGGCAGACATGTAACCATCAGTCTATCTTTATCTGTGTTTTGTCTTATTATTGCCTTGTGACTATTACTTTAACCAACTTTTTCCTCTTCCACTTACTAGTAAAACGTTTCACCTATTACCAATAAGTCATGGATTTGAGTTATCGGGTAGAAAATTTACTATTGATCCTTTTATTTTTTTTAAAAAAAATAAGAATTTAGTAATGTTTGTGGATAAATTACAACATTAATTCATTAAAAGTTCTACCTTTTTGTTTGCTAAGTAATGGTTTAAAGTAGTTTTATTAATTCATCACTATTGATCCTTTTTTATGTTAAGTAATGAATTTATTATAATTGCAATTTGCAGGTGCTGTATTCAATATGCATGCATGAATTGATGGAAACACCTCAACAAGAGTTATCCAAAATTATGCAATGAAATTAGTGATCATCAAGTAAAAAACAAAACAAAACAAAAATAGTTTTTTGCTCCAAATTTCATCACTTCTTGTGAAATACAAAATTAGTTTGTGAGACAGCTTAATTATTAGATTGATCAACCCGTCATATTCTATAAATAATTAAAAATGTATATTTATATTATCAAGTGTCATATTTTTGTTATGTTATTTTTTTTTAAAAAAAATATGTGACATCAATTTATTTAATAGTGTGGAAAAGAAAACCATTATAAGAATGAAATAATTAAAATTACAGAACATTAAATAGACAAATAGTTCCACTTTAATAAATTGTACCAGGTTCCTGATAGATAGTAAAACCTCTCAATTCTCATTGGCAGCAAACCCCACAAAAAAATTCAGAAAAAAAAAAAGAAACAAAACACACACACACACACACACACACACACACACAGACACAAACGCACAAAGCAAGAAAAGCAATCAAAATCCTCTGCACCGTCACACACACACCACACACAAATCTAACAGAATTCCGAAAAAGTCAGCAACTAATCTCATATGAATGGGCAATGAACAACCCCGCACCCCCACCAATCGCCGCCACAAGCAGCCGCGACGGCGACGACGAAAATCCCGCAAAAAACCCCAAACTACCCCTTGACTCCGGCGGCGACGCCGCAGAAGAT